GTTCCTTCATAGCAAGGAGCCCAGTATGAGGGACAAGACAATACAAAGAGGGAGCTGAGACAGAGATTTTCATTTGGAACTAAGGGTCCTCAGAACAAATCCTGCCTGTGAAAAGAGATAAAAATCAGATTTCCTCCCATTCTAGCATTACTACCCCTTAAATGTGAATGGGGTGTGAGAGAGTGAGGTACATTCACTTGTGCATGTTTTACTCCTCAGAGACCCAGCTGACACATTAGCAGGTCTGAGGCCAGAAGGAAATAACTCAGAAAATTTTTAAAAACTCACCTACTTTGTGAACCTACCCATAGTCATTAGCTCTTCCCATAAAGTGGACTTCCCAAGCCATTCAAATTTCCAGAATATGTGGATACATGCAGATGTTTGCACATACATGCACATTTTTACATGAATACACACTTTTTCATTTTTGGTCTGAGAGAGTATAGCAGACTCCAGAACCTGGAGCATGAAGATGGGCTTCCAGAAGCACAGTGCACAGTAATTGACTTCCTGCACATAATTGCTCTGCCCAGCAGCTGCAATATTTTGGATACTCAGGTTTCAAAGGAGACAATCCTAAACATGCTTATGCCAAGCATTTCTGCTTACAGAGGCTGCTCTTGTTCTGTAGTGTGAAACTGACTAGCATGGGGAGTGCTGGGGGATTTGGGGAGAGGTTTGGGATGCTTCCTACCTTGGCAGGCACCCTGAATTCTCCATATTCTTTCAGCAGTTCCTGAGTCTCTTCTGTGGTCTCCCCAGTGGAGGTATGTGTTGAGAGGTAATATTCACCTGTTTCTTGAATCCTGTCTAATGCCTGTGGGAGGAAACAACCCACTCAGTTCCCTAAAAGGCAGCTGTTCGTAGGAAAACATGCCATCCTGTGACAAAGGCTTATGGTTTGGGACAACGTGATGGACCCAGGAAATGGTGACATGATTCAATTGGTATGTAGCTCTGCAGTTGTTTTTATGAATGAGCCCTTCCCTGACTCGGAACATCCCACCAGCAAAGGGAAGGTCTCCTCCAGTAGACTGGGGACTCTTTTAGGACAGGTTCAATAGCATCCATGAATTAGGGGCATACTGAGTACCCCAGCATCTCCTCCCACCTCCTCATACCAAACTCAGAATAGAGTGCTTGATAATGCTGAAATACTGATTGGGGACTCTTTTAGGACAGGTTCAATAGCATCCATGAATTAGGGGCATACTGAGTACCCCAGGATCTCCTCCCACCTCCTCATACCAAACTCAGAATAGAGTGCTTGATAATGCTGAAATACTGACAAGAGACAGCCTGTTCTCTTTCCTCTTTTCATCCCACCTCCCATCTTTATTCTGCCTGCTGCTGTGGCCCTCTTCTGGACTGTCTAGACAACCTTGCTCATCTGGGCCTCTGTATATTCCCCAGAACTGAGGCAAATATGGGGAAAGCTCTGGACATACCTGTTTAGCACTGCGTTCAAACACCACATATTGCTGGCACTGGTCTAACCGCCGCTTTTTCAAGGTCCAGAAGTGCAGGACGCGATTCTCCCTCTGTAAGAGCTCACTCAGGATGGCTGTGGGGCAGAGGAGATGCACGCTGGTCACAGGAAGGCTCTGAGAAAATCCCACCAACCACTTCAACCCCACGGCCCAAGTGTCAGGTAACTGTCTTTCAAGCCTCCCATAGTACTAATCCAGCATCAGAGGAAAGGGAGAAAAAGGTGGGCAGAGAGAATTTCCCAGAAGAGAGCAAATAGTGGGGTTTAGAATGAGAGCCTGTTGATGCGGGTTCCATTAATTAAGGGGAGAAGAATGTAAGAATGACTCTCTTCACACCAAAGTTAATCCTTGGTTGTAAGAAATCTTGGGAAATGTCAATCTCTAAAATAGCAACTAACTCAATGGGCCCCTAGAGCCTAATGAACACAGATGGGCTTTGACAGAAATCTTAGTCATTCTTGAGGAGTTGCTAGATGAGGGGCAGGAGATGAACAGTAGAGCAAGGGCTGGTGTAACTGTATGGAGAGCCCACGTCCTGAACCACATTCTTGGCCTTGTATGAGAGGTTGTGCTCATAGCACTTGAACAGCAGAACCTCAGTTTAAAACTTCTAAACAGTGGGCATAGGGAAGCTGCTTTCGGACCAGGTCTGCAAGTTGTTTTTAGACCCAAATGTCCATGTTGTCTTGGACAGGATCAGAAGAATAGCTGAAAGCTGTTCTCACATTACCTCTGATGATGTTAAATGGGAGGATACACATAAGACATGTAGCAACACAAGTGGGCCATGTAGGTATTCAGTCCCTATTTTTCCCTCACTACTTCTGTTGTTCCAGGAGTAGTTGGCTACGTGGATAGATTTCTTAAGCGTTTTATATAGTATCTTCTGTGCTTGAAGCAATCAAATTTATTTTCTATTATGTCTGCATGCTTCCTAATTTATTAGATATCAATAAAATACACAATAAGGATGATATGAATAATTAATATTTATTAAGCACTCACCATGTGGTAGGTACATGTTTTCACAATATCCCATGATGCATTCGCCATTATTATTCCATTTTACAGATAAGGAAACTGGGGCTTAGAGAGGATAGGTAACTTGCTCAGGGTCATTCAGATAGGAAGGGGTAGAGCTTGGATTTAGGCCAGGTCTGTTTGACTTCAGAGCCTGAGACTACAGCCACCTTGGTTGCTCAGGTTACTGGGGCTGTAAAGCACAAGTTACTGTGCTTTACAAAGATGGCACAGCCCAAAATGCAGTGCTTGTATGTAGAAGTTTTTGTTAATTTTATGTACTTTTAATCCTCCCCAGAGGCTGGCTCTAAAGGTAGAATCTGTTTTTTCATCCTTACGCTGACAGCTTTTATGGGTCCCAGTTATTCACCCCTCCTTATATCTTGAAACTTTTTAGTGCCTTCCCAAAGAAGCAAAGTGTACTTCCTTACCCCCCAACTGACCTCTGGCTCAGCCATGCGGCTTGCTTTGGCAAATGGGTTGTTAACAGATATGACGCAAGCAGGGGCTTGAAATGAGCTTGTGGACTTGATCTTGCCCCTTGCAGCCCTGCCATCACTACTATAAAAACTTCTCCTGGGTAACAGTTGCTCCTTCAACCCAGGTACAGTGAAGGAACCAAGCCAGCCAGCTCATAGCCTGCAGCTCAGCTGCACTGCTGAGCCCAGCCGTGATAGCTGCTCCCCAGCCAGTGCACAGTACAGTAACTTGAACAATAAAAGCCTACAGCTGGATACCACTGAATTCAGTTGTTTATACATCAATAGTTGCTCCCATAACAAAAGCCTAAAATATGTGGCACTGGCTCTGGGTCCAGGCAGCAGCGGAAACTGACATAGAAGGGATTGTAAGTCCTTGCTCAGGTGGAAGCTTCTGTTGGGCAAGGAAGGAGTAAGAACCTGTTTCCTTTGGTTGTTATGTCCCCTAGTCAGAGCTTTGCTCACTGCAGCTCCCTCTATGGTGTGGCTGAGAGAATCAACCCAGATCATACCAAAATCCTAAAGAGTTTCAGGTTTCCTTTTTCCTCCTTCTTTAAAGCTTTCACATGGGCAATCACCTGCCATTGTCCCCAAGAAGATGTAGACATCTCCTGCTCTCTCTGGGTGCCTGCCACTCTTCAGCAGACTAAGGTGTAGGTGGGATGTGTGGACTCTCAGCAGGCAGCTGGCCTCACCTAAGCTGCCACCTGCATTTGGAAGTCAGATCATAATTGAAATCTGCTAGAAGGAGAGGGTGACAATGCCAGCCACCCAAAGGGTATCAGGACTACAAACAGAACAGCACATCTGGAAAAGGAATCCTGCCTCCTTCTTCTCTGTAGGGAACTTTGATTCCTAAGTTTAATTCTTTCCAGTGGCCTCTGATCTTCCCAACTCTTGAGCTCTCTGAGCCCTTCCTAAAGTAGACTTATCCAGCCCCCCTGCAGTATCTCTAAGCCTACCCCAGCCCTCACTCCAGATCAGTTTTGTTCCCTTCCTAGCCTCAGTTTCCAGGGTTATATTTCTGCACCTTGTCAAGATGACATTTGTTAAACTCTTCGCCCACTCAAAGGCTAATTTCTGCATGGTCAGAGAAATTTCACAGATAATGTAAGCTTAATGTGGTCAGATAATAAGCAATTTTTAAAGGTTATGTATTTTTTCATATAATTACAGACTTTATAGAATTTAGAGAGATACTAAAAGTTATCTAGAATAGAACTTATCTATATTTTATGTACACAAATCACTTGGTTAGTGGGATGGAGGGATGGGGTTCTTGCAAAATACGGGCTCTGACTCAATAGGTTTGGGTGGGGCTTGAGATTCTGTGTTTCATACAAGCTCTCAAGTAATGTCAATGCTTCTGGTCTGAGGACCACATTTTGAGTAGGAAGAGTCTATACACTGCTCTCATTTTAAAATAAAAAACCTAAAGTTTTAAAAGCTTAAGCAATAAGTGACAATTCCAGTATTAGAACTTGGTTTTATGATTCTCAGTCTGCATCTTATTCCCAGGGCTGTTCAAAATGTTAGCCACAGACCATATTTGGCTTTTTACATTTAAATTAGTTAGTGCTAAATAAAAGTAAAAATTTAGTTCTTCAGTTACACTAGCCACATTTCAAGTGATCAAAAAACACATGCGACTAGTAGCTACCACATTGCACAGTGTAGATATCAGCCATTTCTGTCATTTCAGAAAATTCTATTAGGCGGCACTGCCCTGGACTCTAAGATAAATGAAAAATCTTGGGAAAACTTTATCCTCATTTTTCCATTCCAAATTTTGATGCACGTTAAAAAAGTGACCATGAATCACCACTGCCCACGCCATCCCACGTCATACTTTTTCTTCTCTAAAGAGAAGAATCAGGAAATTTGGGATCGCATGAAGACTAAGTAAGCAGTGTCTAGTCAATACTGCTGAAGTGCCCTGGAACACGGCAGGTCTCGCACTGACCTTTCACTTGCTGCTCAGGTCCCCGAGTGTGGCTGGCGACACTGGGCATGCTGACGTTATTCCTGTGGATGTACTTGAGAAACACCTCAGCGTTCCGCCGTGCCAGCGTGCAGGCCTGCGGGAGACAAAGGTGTGAGGATCCTGTCCTCAGTGGGTGGAAGGGATCTGAGACACAGAAAAGGGGTGCCCTCCTTCCTCTTTTTGGGAGGCTTGAGGACTTAACAGTGAGATGATGAGAATTCTGGAGGAATCGGGGTGGGGGCAGAGCTCTGGAGGTCACTTCTGGTTCATGGAAGCTCCAATTCCAATTTAGGAGGCTTACCCTTCTGAGCCTTCCTTTTGTCAAGTAAAGAATTACTCCCTGTGCCTCTCCCCTTTCTGTCTCAGATAAAAATCAGAATCAACCATCCCTTGACTACCCATATGTTGATTTGGCATTACTGAATTTCACTCTCAGGCTGGTTTTCTTCTGCCACCAGAATGCCTCTTATGTGACCACAAGTGTAAGCCCAAGGAATATAAACCCACTTTAACATTAGTTTGACTTAGACTTGAGCAAGTAAATTTGGTAAATGCACTATTAATCATGCATTCCAAATCTAAATGGAAATTACCAACATCTTCCAAACATATTTGTCTATCAAGTCCCCGTCACCTAAATAACACTTATAAGCATCGTACTGTTGGGAAATACCAATCTACGTAAAGGAATAAGAGCCATCATACTACTTTCTTTAAGACTCACATCACCTGTGGGGCCAAAGAGGACAGGTCACATTCTCCTTGTCGAATTGATGGACAAGACAGGCCCAGAGAGGGCAAGAATCAGGAAGCAATTCAGAACTGGAATCTAGGTCTACTGAGAGACTATTTCTAGTTTCTCTCAAGCCAATATATTTTCCAGATTTCTTTTAAAAGCTGGCTTTTTTCTGGTTGTCAAACCAATATATGCCAATATACTAATTTTTCATCCACAGTTTTCAGAATTAAATTATCTCTAGACAAAACCATTAAGTTTTAAAATCTTATGCTTAGCCTCTGATCTTACAAATTATATAACTAAAAATTATTATCTAATTATAGCATTAGCATATTATAAATATAAATTATATATTTATATAATTATATAAAAAATCGGCAACAAAGGCTTCTGGGAATCTCTGGTAAAAGCCTGCAGGTGTGTCCATTAACTCGGATGCTTATGGATCTGACAGCCTGTATATTATAAATATAAATTATATATTTATATAATTATATAAAAAATCGGCAACAAAGGCTTCTGGGATCTCTGGTAAAAGCCTGCAGGTGTGTCCATTAACTCGGATGCTTATGGATCTGACAGCCTGATGGTGGTCTAAAGCTAAGGAATCTAAAATGGATCAACTAACACATACAAATGGACAGCTCAGTATTCTATCTGTTGGGCATATAGTTCCCACAGTGATAGGGAGTTTCTCACTATGGTTTTTGGAACATACTGAAAACTTCAGACCAGAGTGTTTTCTTTATTCTTCTTCAAAATAAACGCTTTCTTTTAACTTTATGAAGAATATCTTTATACCCCTATTTTGAATCCTTAATATGCTCTACTTAAATTGTTTTGTTTTAAACTTTGTTTTGTAATAGGAAAAATCATCTTTCACTTTTAAAATCATCTTAAGCCCTGTACAGAAGAATTTCTTTCAATCTTATTAGTAAAAGCTGATTACCAACGGTTCTGACTAATACAGGTGCAGATACCAGATAGATGGGAGGAGGGCAGGGGGAGGCCATCTTAAAAAAAGAATAAAAGTAAAACTCAAAGAGGTGGTCAAGTAGAGAAAATCCCTAATATAAGAAAGGCAGTTAATTGCAGAATCGTATAAGATCAATGGCAATGTGTCAGGATATAAAAATTCTCTTTTGTACTTTCAGAAACTTGAGAGGAAGCAGAACATGAAAGCAAGAAATCTGGGAGCAAATGGAGCCTTTCGATAAGCTTGAGCACAGAAGGCTCTGTCAGAGAGAGGATCAAAGGCTGCAGGAAGGAGGCTCCTGAGGACTTCCCACACCAGCTGAAAGCCTGTGCAGAGCAAGACTGCTTCCTCGCTGGCCAGCTAGGGCTCCATCAAAAAAAAAAAAAAAAAAAAAAAGCAGATAAGGTATTTCTATCTTAATATAGAATAATAAACAGTGTTACATTTATTGGTATTTGATAATTGCTAGATTGATAAATACAGTGTCTAAATTTATTTCATTATTTAATTCTTGCCCTAAATTTTACATCATCCATTTATAAAAGATTTATTTTAATAGTGTTTTATAGATAGGCTTATGTTTTTCAATCAAAAATAAATTTATAAACCAAGCATAACTGAATTAAAGCATGTATGAAGGTACTTCTAAAAGTTGGTGGAAAGATTTGTATTAGTTTTTAATTTGTATTTGCATTATTTTTTAATTCTATTTTTCCATTAACTTTTTGAATTACCCTCATTTTTCTCAACAACAGGATATTCAAACGTGGCAGCAGTACTACTGGTGTATTCTAATTGCCTAATCATACAAAAAGTGCTAAGGGAGAAACAATGTTTAAAGTATAACCTTTCAAACCTTCAAATTAACCAGTCAATATCTGCAACCCCTTCCCCACTTTAGATTAGAGGCTAGGAAAAAACAGGGGGGTGGGAGCCACATATGAAGCTGTGTGTGTGTGTGTGTGTGTGTGTGTGTGTGTGTGTGTGTGTGTGTGTGTGAGAGAG